ATGACACTAGTCTGTCATTTACATTGCATTCTGACCTCTGCTCAGATTAGCAATGGGCCCCATGCAAAATTTTCACTGAATCTGGTCTGAAATCGGAGCCAGAAATAGTTTACAGCATCATGTTAGATAGAACTGGCTGGAGAAAAGTAATTCTTTATAGTGGAGGATTTCAATATTTTGAAAATTAGCTTCATTCCAATATGGAACGAAACTCATAAATTACTACATTTTCTATGAAGACGAATGGAGCCCCAGCTCCAGGTCAGTCCGCCCAGCAGGCTGCTGAGGAGCTGGTGGCAGGAAAAAACAGACAGGTTTTGAAATCGGCCTTGTTTCCATCAGAACTCCTTGGAAAAGGAACAATCTTCTCAAAACGCTTTTGATTTTGATGAATAGGCAAATACTAGTGAAAAACTATATCAGAGGAGAGCTCAGTATGTACATGACAGACCTGTGCTTTCGATTCTGACCTTCGCCTTTCTTTCTCACTGCGAAGGTGAATAACATCAGGGCCCACTTACCCATCTCCCTGAACAACGGGGCCCTTCGGCTCTATCAGAGCGGCACCTCCCTCGTCCTCCGCACCGACTTCAACCTCAGAGTGTCCTATGACTGGAACAACCACCTGAGGGTCACCGTCCCTAATGACTTCTCTGAGAGCCTGTGCGGCCTGTGCGGCAACTATAATGGGGATCCCTCCGATGACTTCCGGACCCCGGACGGGGATCTGGCTCCCAGTGTCACCGCCCTGGGGAAAAGCTGGGCAGTGGAAGATGAGGATCAGTTTTGCTGGCACGATTGCATTGGAGGCTGCAGGCCCTGTGCCCCCAGCATAGCCAGAAAGTACAAGGAGGAGGCCTTGTGCGGCTTGATAGCCAAGGTTTCAGATGGGCCCTTCAGCCAGTGCCACAGCAAGGTGGATCCTAAAGTCTACTTGGACAACTGCGTGTATGATCTGTGCCACAATGACGGCTACCGGAAGGCCCTGTGTGAGGCCCTGAAGGCCTATGCTGATGCCTGCCAGCTGGAGGGGGTCAGGATTGGGGAATGGAGGCAGCTGGCCAGATGCCGTGAGTACAGATTTGTATGCCAAGGTCTATGGTCTGCTGGTTAGACCGGGGACCCCGGGGCCCAGCACTCTTGAGTTCTAGCCCTGGTTTTGGGAGAGGGCATGATCGAATGGTTTGGGATTGAGCAGCGATTGGGAAATCAGGACTCCTGGATTCTGTTGTACCCACAATACTTGTCTGTCTGTGGAATTGCTAAGCTGCTTGTCACTTTGAGTATCTGACGTCCACTAATAACACATGGGAGCTGGGGTAAGATGGTGACAGTTTAAGTCACTCATAGAATCATAGATTCTAAGCCAGTGGTTCTCAACCTATTTATTATTGTGGGACGCATATGCAGCTCTCTAGGTGTTATATGGGCTGCAGCCACACAGTATATATACTACCTGTATGGCCCAGAGGATGTCACATGGGCCACAGCGACCTGTGGACTTCGGGTTGAGAACCACTGCTCTAAGGCCCGAAGGGACCATGATGTTAATCTAGTCTGACCTCTTGCACGTTGCAGCCCACAGAACCTCTCCCACTCACTCCTGTAACCGACCCCTAACCTCTTGCTGAGTTACTGACATCCTCAAATCTTGATTTAAAGACTTCAAATTACAGAGAATCTGTCATTTACACTTGTTTAAACCAGCAAGTAACCTGTGGCTCAAGATGCAGCGGAAGGCAAATAATCTCAAGGGTCTGCCAATCTGACCTGGGGGGAAAATTCCTTCCTGACCTCAAATATGGCAATCAACCCTCCCCATGTAGTGTCCCATCACTGGCTGTTGGAGACATTGCTGCTATCACTCGCAGATCAGCTACATGCCATTGTGAGCAGTCGCATCATACCTTCCCATCCATAAACTTACCAAGCTCAGTCTGGAAGCCAGTAAGGTGTTATGCCCTTATTGCTCCCCTTGGAATGCTATTCCAGAACTTCACTCCTGTGATGGGTATCATCTAATTTCTAGGCGCCCTTCTCTGCACCTGTTCTAGTTTGAATTAATCTTTCTTAAACATGGGAGACCAGAATTACACACACTATTCCAGATGAGGTCTCACTGGTGCCATGTATAATGGCACTAACACTTTCCTGTCTCTACTGGTAATACCTCTCCTGATGCATCCTAGGACTGCATTAGCCTTTTTTCACAGCCGCATGACATTGCTGGCTGTTAGCCATCCTGTGCTCAACTAATACATCCAAGTCTTTCTCCTCCTCTGTCACTTCCAACTGATACATCCCCAGTTTATAACAAAAATTCTTGTTGTTAGTTCCTAAATGCATGACTTTGCACTATTAAATGTCATCCCATTATGTATGATATTCCGGTTCTCCTCCATATTGGTAATACCCCCCAATCTTGTGTCATCTGCAAATTTTGTTACCACTTTTTGTGCCAATGTCATTAATAAAAATGTAAAATAAGATTGATCCCAAGACCAATCCCTGAGGAACTCCACTATTAACCTTCCTCCAGCCTAACAATTCACATTTCAATGTCCTGTTGTAGTCTCCCCTTTAACCAGTTGCTTATCCACCTTACAATTCTCATATTAATCCCCATCTTCTCCAATTTAACTAATAATTTCCCATGTGGAACTGTATCAAATGCCTTACTGAAATTCAGGTACATAAGATCTGCTGCATTTCCTTTGTCTAAAAAATCAGTTATCTTCTCAAAGAAGGTGATTAGGTTGGCCGGGCATGATCTACATTTTGTAAAACCATGTTGTATTTTATCCCAATTACCATTTACCTCTGTTTCCTTATTGCTTTCTTTTTCAAAGACCCGCATACAACTGAGGTCAAACTAACAGGCCTGTAGTTTCCTGGACCACTTTTCTCCCTTTCTTAAAAATAGGACCAATATTAGAAATTCTCCCCCAAGTTTAGAGATTCATTAAAAATCCTTGCTATTGGGCTTGCAATTTCATGTGCCAGTTGCCTTAATATTCTTGGATGGAGATTATACAGGCCCCCTGATTTAGTCCCATTAAGCTCTTTGAGTTTGACTTCCACCTCGGATGCGGTAACTTCTACTTCCATATACTTGTTCCCATTAGCTATCCTGCCACTACCCCAAAACTCTCCATTACCCTTATTAAAAACGGAGGTAAATTATTCGTTTAGGTGTTATACCTGGATTATCTTTAATCTCCACCCCATCCTCAGTGCTTACTGGTACCTTTTTATTTATATGGCTATAGAAAATTTTACTCTTGGTTTAATTTCGTTTGCAAGGTCCAACTTTGCTTGGCTTTTGCCAGTTCTCACTTTATCCCTACACTTTCTGACCTTCAAGAGGTAGCTTTCCTTCCTGATCCAGCCCTTCTTCCATTCCTTGTAGGCTTTCCGCTTTCTCTTAATCACCTGTTTGAAACGTTTGCTCATCCAGCTCGGTCTGCAACCCTTCCCTATGATTTTTTTCCCTTTGCTTGGAATGCAGACTTCAGATTGTTTCTGAAACTCCAAGCCTCCTCCACATTCAGATCCTTGAGTTCTTCAGTCCAGTCTACTTCCTGGACCCTAACTAATTCCCTTATTTTTTTTAAAGTTTGCCCTTTTGAAATCAAGGGATCCTAGTTGCACATCTATGTTTGTTTATCCTTTCATTTAAACTGAATTAGTTCATGATCACTTGAACCCAGGCTGTCCCCTACAACCAGTACTTCTAGGAGGTCCTCACTACTCACCAATACCAAATCTAAAATGGCATCACATCTTGTTGGTTCAGTGAGTATTTGGTGAAGAAATCTGTCAGGTATCCCATCCAGGAAAATCTGGGCCCTACTATTATTGGTAGCATTTTTCCTCCAATCTATATCTGGGAAGTTAAAATCTCCCATAATCACACAATTCCCAACAGTATTTCTTTCATTATAGCCCCACAAGATACATCCCCCTCTGTCTATTTTAAATACTGTTTTTGCTTGGAGAGAATTTGCTGTTAAATCTGTGGGTCCTTCACTCCCCAGCCATGGAGTGCCCCCTGGAGAACAGCCAGTACCAGTTCTGTGGAACAGCCTGCCCAGCCACGTGTGTGGACCAGTCAGCCCCCAGCAGCTGCCAAGACCCCTGCGTAGAAAGCTGCCAGTGCAAGGATGGTTTTGTGCTGAGCCAGGGCAAATGCATCCCCAAGAGCAGCTGTGGGTGCCAGTTTGAAGGGCGTCCCTATGTCCCCAACGAGAGCTTCTGGGTCAATGAGGCATGTGGGACACGGTGCATGTGCAACGCAGCCACTAGACAAGTCGAATGCATGGCTGCTACGTGCAAACACTCTGAGAGGTGCGGGCTAGTGAATGGCATACGAGGCTGTTACCCCTCCAGCTACGCCACCTGCTCTGTGACAAGGAATATGCACTACGCCACATTTGATGGACAGAGATACGACTTCCAAGGCACCTGCCACTACCAGCTCACGGCCCTGTGCAAGAAGGCAGAGGGACTGGTGGACTTTGAGGTCTACTTCCAGGAGAACAATACCGCTCCTCTACAGATCAAGATTTATCAGACCAGCCTCAGGATCAGCAATCAATTCCCTGGGAAAGTCCTGGTGAGTTTCTCAAATTGTCTCTAATCTCTCTCAAACACTTCTAGAAAGTCACCTGTGTCATCAACACAGGTTACAGACAGTGCATGGAAGGACTGTGAAATATAGAATGAATGGTAACTGGATTCTTTGAACAGGGAGTTGATGGAGATATTTAAGGATTATGGTGCTGCCATTTCACTTGACATGGGTCAGTACGTGTCAGTAGCATCCAGCATATGTGGGAACCTGGGGAGCTGGGGCTCAGGTTAAACAGAGAGGAGGGAACTGCAATAGCCAAAGGCAGAGGTAATGAAAGTCTGGTTGGAGGATCCTGTCCAGTCTGGAGAGCTGGGATTCAGGCAGGTTGTAGGGATTGGAGCAGGGCAGACTGGACAAAAAGTTAAACAGAGGTGGATTTTTATTGTAATTATGGGCTGGAGCTCTGTGCTGGAGCAAGAGGTTCCACCATGAGCGAGCAATGTTTCATATACTGAATGATTTGCTCTTACAGATGAATGGTTTCCTGATTAACCTTCCCTTCAACCTCAATGATAAGAAAATCACTGCGTATAGAAAGGGCTGGGCCACAGTGATCCAGGCAGACTTTGGCCTCACCGTTACCTATGCCGGGTGGTCAGGACGCATCACGGTCACTCTGCCAGTGACCTACGCGGGAGCCGTGTGTGGTCTGTGTGGCAACTTCAACAAGGACAGGGAGGATGACTTGCTCATGAGGGATGGCACACTGGCACCAAGCCCCATCAGCTTTGGCCAGAGCTGGAAGGTGGGCGACCTCCTGGGATGCTCTGTAGTAACGATACCACCATGCGCAAGTATAGAGGCTATTGAAAAGGAACAACGAGGTAGCAGGGGGCAGTGTGGGATCATCCTAGACAAGAATGGCCCCTTCAGAGGATGTCACAGCAAAGTGGACCCCCATGGGTACTTCATAGACTGCGTGTACAGCTATTGTGTCCTCAGTGAGCGGGAGAGTAACGTCTGCCAGGCCATTGCTGGCTATGCTGAGGCATGTCAGGAAGCTGGAGCTATGGTGCATCCCTGGAGGACTACGAAATTCTGCTGTGAGTCACCTGTGTTTACTACTGATTGCCCCATGGGGCTTGTTAATTTTTGTTGGCTGGTAAATGTTGAGCTAACTGCTCAGTATATCCTGTTCTGCAGAATGTTTCTTAAGAGACAAAGAAGCCCTCTCTCCAAAGGATGGGTACAGTCATAGGAGCTGGCCCCTCACCGTGCCCTATCAATGTGCTGCATCCCAGGCCAGAGAGGCACTGTCTGGGGATGTAGTAGTTCCCTCCATGGTCTATCCAGTCAATCCTTGGCTTCCCTGCTGAGCCTGGATACAATCAGAGGTGGGAGTCAGTGGAGTCTTAGTAATTGAGATATCTGTCCACTAGGAACTGGTTTGGGAACCCACCAACTCGTCTCCCATAAGCCATCATCTGGGAATGAGTTTTAGGAACTACTGACCTGGAATCAAAGCAAAAAGCTTGTGGTGAAAAGCTCTACAGAACAATTCCAGGCCCACGAGCTCTCCACTCCCTACACTCTGACCTTGGACCAGATTAGAAGCCTAACCCTTGGAGAGAGATTGTGTGTATCCAATTACCTGGTGTCAGGGGCAGCTCTAGGCACCAGCAAAGCAAGCACGTGCTTTGGGCAGCCCATTTGCAGGGGCGGCAGGGATCCAGCATGGGAGCTGAGAACCAACAGTGGGCCCTGGGAGCTGTAGTTCCTTGGTTAGCTCCCTGCCTATAGAGCCAGCCCTGGAGCAGGGAAAGAACTACATTTCCCAGCATTCCCTTGGCCACTACCAACAGGAAAGGGGGGGGGGAGTGAGGAAGCTGAGACATCATTCTACAGCCTGCTTTGAATGGAGAGCTGCACTGGGAAGGGTAGGGATACCATATTTTAACATTCAAAAAATAGGACACCCCACGGGGAGGGAGGGTAGCCCCACCCTGCCACCTTCCACTCCCTCCGACTGCCCCCCACAGAAACCACAACCCATCCAACCCCCTTGCTCCCTGTCCCCTGATCACCCCCTCCCGGGACCCCTGCCCCAACTGCCCCCCAGGACCCCACCCCCTATCTAAGCCCCACTGGTCCTTGTCCCCTGATTTGCCCCCTCCTGAGACCCCACCCTCTATCTAAGCCTCCCTTCTCCTTGTCCCCAACTGCCCCCTCCTGAGATGATCCCACCCCCTACCTGTCCCCTGACAAACCCCTGGGACTCCCATGCCTATCCAACTGCTTCCTGTCCCCTGAGTGCCCCCCTTAACCTCCGCCCCATCCAACCCCTCCCCCCCCCCCGCTCCCTGTCCCTTGACTTCCCCACTGGAACCTCCTACCCTAGGATTACCATATTTAACCAATTAAAAAAGAGGACCCTCCACATGGCCCTGGCCCCGCCCATTTCCCACCCCAGCCCCGCCCCAACTCCGCCCCTTACCCAACCCAACCCCGCCCCAACCCTGCCCTAACTCCACCCCCTCCCACTCCCAGCCACGCGGAAAGGGCTGCCCGAGCGCTACCAGCTTCACGGTTTGCCGGGCAG